CAGAGGCTATTGTGGTAAAAGCTTGGTCCCTAGGGCAGTAATGTTCAGAGCAGGGCTATGTAGAGGTGGCTGGATCATGAGTGCTGTAAACTCATTAGTGGACTAGACTAATCCCTTAATGAGTTCACAGTTTAATAGGTTATTCAGAGGTGAACCAAGTCCCTGAGGACAAGACTTTGAAGCATGTGTTTGATCTCTTTACTGTCTACTCTCGCTGCTTCCTGACCTCCACGAGGTGAGGCGCTTTCTCCACTATGCCCTTCTGCCATGGTGTACAGACCCATTAGACACAGAGGCAAGTATCCATGGACTGAAACCTATGAAGCCATGAGCCAAAATAAATCTTTTCTCCTTCAAATTATTTTTTCTCAAGTAGTTTGTCACAACAGTAGAAATGCTGACTAATAGATGAAGCAATAAAATTTTTTCCTTCAATATTTTTGTGGCATAAGATGAAGAGTGGTCAAATAGCTAGGTTTTAGAAAGATGATTCTAAAATTCATTTCATGTGCTTGATTTTGCAGTCAAGTCAGTCAGACTCAGAGAGGGGAAGCAGGGTGTTTTAAATACACATGGGCATTTAAGAATGAAGCTGGAGAGGGGGGTTCCTATCCATCCCAGATCAGCATGCACTTTGCCTTGGCAGAGTGAGTCAATTCCTGCCATTTCAGCTCTCAGCACAGCCTGACTTCCTGGAATTTCCCCACCCCCACCCCCCAGACTTGTGGTTTGGAGCTCCTTCCCTGAGACTCCCTAGTGCCATGTCATCTTAGCTCTCAGACTTCCTTGGGACAGAGATCCTGTCTCATCTTGGCAGAGTGAGTCAGTCCCCGCCATCCCAGCTTGCCTCATAGCCACTGTCTCCAATCCTCCAACCGTCCTTCAGTTGTGGTATCTTGCCTTCTTCCTCTTTCACATGATTTGTCCTCACTTCTGATCTGGCTTTCAAGACTAGGAACTCAATTTTCACCCCTTTTCTCTCTCGTAGACCCTCCTCCCACTTCATCCCCTCTTGACATAAATCAGAATACTGGCATCAATGTACACAGAACAGGCAATTCTGATGAGCTCTTAGCAATGAGGAATAAGGCACTGGAAACTAGAGTCAAGTTTATCATATAGCTGTGAAGAAGTTGCTAGAATTATATTCATGGTTTGCTATGTAGTTACTTGGTAGAGTGCTTGCCTACTATGCACAAACCCTGGGTTTGATACCCAGCACTGCATACTTACCACAACACCAGAACTGTAAAGTTACCCATGTTCTAGCCTGGGAGGGCTGCAGGCACAAAACCCCAAACTGAGAGAGATGAAGCCTCTGATGAGTCCCCAAAGTTGCAGGGGTGGGGTGGCCCAAGGCCTTGGAGGGCCATCACTCAACTTGCATGCCCAGAGTATGGGACACAGCTTAATGCTATTATCATCATGACCATGGGAGTGAGTTGTCATCAGAGTGAGTTCCTAATAAAACGATGAAGTTTGGCTTCTGTATTAATTACTTTTTTGCTACCCTGCCAAAATACCTGATAGAAGCAACTTAAGGAAGCAAAGCTTTGTTTCATTTCACAATTTGCATCATGGAGGGAAGTATGGGAAGGAGCTGCTCTTGTTGTGGCAGTAGGGGTGTATAGTCGCTGGTCACACTGTCTGCAGAAGAAGCAGAGAGAGAATGTGTGTGTGTGTGTGTGTGTGTGTGTGTGTGTGTGGAGAGAGAGAGAGAGAGAGAGAGAGAGAGAGAGAGAGACTGCTGCTCAGCTCACTTTCTCCTTTTCATTCATTCCAGGACTCCAGGCCATGGGTTGGTGTTTGTCATCTTCTCACCTTAGATAAATGTCTCTGGAAACCCCCTCACAGATATAGCCAGAGATACATTTCCTAGGTGATTCTAACTTCTGTAAAGTTGATGATGAAGATTATTAGCCTCCATCCTCCTGTTTCATCTCATGTGTGCTCCCTTCCCCTCTGCCATGCTGTGACACGGCATGAACACCCTCAACAGATGCCACTGTCCCTTGGACATTCCAGCCTCTATTCTTTACAGCTCACCTAGTCAGCGGTATTCTGTCACACAAATGAAAGGGACCAAGAGAGCTGGTTAAATGTGAGGGACACTGTCTTTTCTATGCACGTCATATCTCCCATGACATTGATTTAGCAGCAGTACTTAAGTTATGGCTTATCCTGAGGATGGAGAAAGGGATGCATGTGAAGTAAATTGAACAGGGTACAGCAATTTGTGCATAGCGATCACTTAATGAATTTAAATTGCAATTGTCATTACTAATTTATGATATTAGGCAAATTATTAACTCTCTTGGCCTATGAGAATTGAACATGATAATGTGTGTAAGGCGATTTTAGTACTATAATTGGTGCATTATGCAAACTCAGTCCCTTTGTGGCCACAGTCTGTACTCTTCCCAACACCATTCCTTCTGCCTGGCATCATTTTTTATTATACAGTTAGCCCTGTTCTTCCTCCATCCCATAGACCTACCCATTTTTTCTGCTTGTATTTCTTGTTCCAATGATGTATGAAGCAACACGGTAGAGGCAGAAGACAGTTGCTCCTGATACTAGTTTCCTTCCTATGGCTAAGCCCTGGGGAAGAGGATAGATGGTCAATGTCCCCAACTGCAGCTGTAATTGCAATCGCAAATGTGATTAGCACACCTTCCAGGCAGCCAGCAAAAACACTGTTGCACAAGGGGAAGATTCGTTAAACCCAAGGAAGAAGAAGCTGCTGTTTCTGGGAACAGACTCTGTGGTGATCCTCTTAGTCTGTAACAAGATGGTCTTGGGAGGAAAGAAGTCTGCCAAAGCCTGAAGCCTTCAAGGTAAACCCTACAGGTGGCTCCTCTCTATAAGAATTCTGCTTTCACTTTGGTCTGCTAAAGGTACCTCCCCATGGCCCACTTGGGATCGCTGGAGTTTTCTGTTTAGTTGCTCTCTAGAGATTTGGAAATTTTGGCTAGGAGGCTGACCTCCCTTAGGATGCAAATGTTGCTATGCTGCCATTATGAAAAATATATGGTAATATAGCTATTTGGAAAATGTGGACATGGAACACACACACACACACACACACACACACACACACACACACACACTGAATTAAATGATTGCATCTGAGCTTGGCTGCCAGTTCAGAGAGACAGTATAATAACTAGAGGCAGATCACCAGGTTTTCATCCCTAGCTCCTCAAATTCCTGGCTGGTGGACTTGGGAATGTTACTTAACTGCCCTGTTCCTCAGTCCTCATCTGCATAATGGAAGGGGTTATAATAAGAGCACCCATTTCAATGAACCTTGTGAGATCTAAATTAGTGTGAGTAAAACACTCAGAAGAACTTCTGCTACTCAGCTGGAGATGCAAACTTGGCTGGTAAGATGCTAGGAAAACCACATTTCTGTGATATTTTTGAAAGCTAAACTGACCAAATTTTATATAACATAGCTTCTTTTACCTGAAGGCAGAAGCTCATCCCTGATTGTTTTTTAGAAAGTCAAATTGAATAATGTGGTCTGACTAGATTTCTTCCCTCCAGAGTTGTTCTGTGTTTTATTTTTTAATTAAA